TGCAGATGTCGTGATGACATTGGCGACAACGATGATGATTAATTTCCTGCTGAAGAGAGGAAAATAAATATGAACCTTCCCAAATACACAATATATTGAAATGCTAATTTAATGTCGTGAAAAACTAGGCTTTCGTGTCACCCATTACTGTTTTCCTTAATATTTCAATAAAACAGGTGAAGATTTGGGCATCGTTCCTGGGTTCTGAAGTATCCTTCCCCACGCCGAACTCAAGTAGGCCTATCTAACGTGGATCTGGGATTGTCCATCGAAGTCCGATCCAGTGTTTCTACATCGTTGAACCGATGGGAAATTGAAAACTTAGAGCCTTTTTATTTAAATAAACTGCAAGGAAGGTCTCCCGTTGGCAACATGGCTATGCATGCGGTTCATCGTATCCAGTACATAGTTTGATGCATATGAAAAATCCTAAATATTCGAAGGAAAGAAAGATGTCGCTAGTCACCAGGGGCACCTGCGCCCCCGCCTCCTCTCTGAATACTCCTCGCATTGGTGTCTTAGTCAAGTGAAAAATTGTCTAACTGAGGTGAAAAACACTGTATAGAAGTCAGCACGGTGAGTGGCAACATGGCGTCCTCCAGTGAGGGGGGGCAAGAATCTAGAAAAGCAATCATGTCCTTTGAGGACACCGATTCATTCTCTTCCTTCAAAGTTAGTCTCATTCCTTTTAATGAACTCCGTACATTAGACTTGTATATTTAGGATGTAAGCCATTTACCTCATGTTCTAGGAACCCTTGCTGTCATACCTACACATCGCTGTCCCAGAGTCCGAGAAGAGAATATCTGAGCAAATCAGTGTCAAGGATCATTATGTTGTCTACCTCATTGATACATGGTGAGCGACTGGCTTGTGGCCTACTGCCCACAGGTCCTAAAAAAAGTAACCCATGGCGATTCGAATATGAATTCATTTTATGCTACATTCGGGCTACAGGTATATTGTTTATGTTTATTCCTCTGTTTCATGCTAGGAAGTGAGAATAGGGAAGTATCATAGCTGTTTAATGAGCATGAGTTATAGTGGCAGGTTAGAAAAGCTTGAAATGTCGCTTGGGTGACCCTTGAGAGCCTGAGTGTATGTATTGTATGTACAATGTGGGGTGTGTGTGGATGATGTAATGGATTATCAGATGATATACAAAACTTTGAAATACCTTCCTGGTGCTCTGTTATGGCAGTTTTGAGGAAGGAATGGATGAAGCTAGTAGTTTCTCAAATAAACTGGATTAGTTATAAACTTTAGGCAGCTAGTTGTTAGTATTTTAAACACTTCCATGTTATCATGTGGATCCAGGCTTCATCCTTCATCTGCATCACCATGCATCAAGTGCCACATCCTGTAGCCTATGTGAAACTACAAGGGAGTGAAGGAATCCATTTTGGCTCTCATATATTTCTCATGCCCCCTCATAATGTATGAGTTGATATTCTGACTTTAATGGAGAAAGAACAATCCAATAAATAGGCATATGCCCTAAAAGAATTGCAACCAAGCCTAGAAGTGCAGTCTGACAAAAGGTCTTCCTACACTGTCTTTGGACTGAACTTGTATTAACCCTCCCTGTCCAGGTAGTGGAGAACAGAGAGTAATACTTCCAGGGGATCTGCTTATCATGTTCTGAAGAACCACCCTGTGCAAAGTGTCACTACCTGCAATTAATAAAAGCATACCTATAAATATAAATGGGTACAAATTCAATCTAAAAGGAGTGAATCTGTACCTTGCATAGGCCTAGTCTGCATACAATTGACTGAGCTTCATTCCACAAGTTAGGTATTTAATGTAATTAAGTGTTATGTGATAAGTGAGTTTTCTTTTTTCTTTTGTTTCCCTGCACTAGTTTATGGAAAGAAGATGCACCAGTTTCCCTGGAAGTGAGTGCTTCAGTCTGGCGGAGGTACAGTGAATTTGAACTTCTGAGGAACTACCTCCTCTTCTGCTACCCCTATATTGTGGTGGCTCCATTACCAGAAAAACGAGCATCTCTTGGCTGGCAGAAGCCACCAGATGATCCTTTTGACCCAGACTTCATTGATCGAAGGCGGGCTGGTCTTGAGGTGTGTCCAGTATGTAATTTTTCTTAGCCTAAGAGGGAGATTCTATTAAGGTGTGAGTTCATGCTCCCCAAATGGTAATGTGAGATTTGTTTTAGGGGAGTAATGGGACAGGTATAACTACGTGATGTCTCATAAGAGGTCTAGTGGCTACAGCTATTTTCTGTGAATATGAATTGAACCCTTCAATAAATGAATAAAAACTCTGACCTAGTTACAAGAAGAAAACAACAATGTTCTTTCTGCTTTGAATGAACCCAATAGCAATATATGATTCTGGTTAACATTCAGAGAATTCTTCTGTCTCATTTTTAATTCTGGTGTAAGGGAATAGTGCTACCACAAGATCAACTGATATATTACCAGCAATATTGATCCCTTCAGCCTTTTAGGAGTCCATAATTGGGAAGTCAAATGTACCCCAGCATTATGGGCCTTATGAAGAGTGATTTCCTGTATAAAAAAAAACAAAAACAAAATAAACTTCTTCACTATCACATATCTTCTGAAAAGAAAGACAATATAAACATGGTAGAATTGCATAAGAGCTATGATATTCTAAAAGTAATTGTAGAAAAGGTACTGGTTACCTTATGGTGGGGCTTTATATCTATTTGGGACATGTTGTAAGTGACGTACATGAGTAACTTCTTATTTCAACTCTTTTTCACTAGGGGTGGATCTCCATTTTTAGGACAAATGAATATGGTCCCGGTCACCCTTTGTATCATTAATATTTTCATCCCCTTTTTTGTGATCATAGTCAACCCTAGATCTAGATTTACTGCCGTATAGTCAACCTCACTTATCACCGAAACCCTCCTGAGAACAAATCTAAGTGGGGAACAGTAGTTTTTAGTAGCAATCCAATTGCTACTAACCTCATCCCATTGTCTTGTACTTTGAGTAATCATGCCAATGTTGGGCTTTAAAATAATTGGACTCCTTGGCCATTATCTGACCTAATCAATCCTACTATTTTCGTTTTTCCAGAACTTTCTGTTACGGGTAGCAGCTCATCCTGTTCTGAGTTTAGACCAAGTTTTCTTGGGTTTCCTGCAAAAGGAGAGTGGGTGGAAGGATACAGCAAGTGAAAGAGATTTGTTCAGTCGAATGGATGCCTGGTTCAAGGGCCTTAATGCAGCCTTCCGCATCCAGAAACCTGACCCTCGATTCCAGGAAATCAAGGCCTACAGTCAAGAACTACAGGTTTAAGTTTCTGCATTATCATTTGTTCATCTCCTTCTGAACCATTCAGTGAACACGTATTGCCACATTTTTTTCTTGGCTATATTGATCTCTAGGCTGTTCAATTTGCCTTTACCTGAGGTTTGATTATGCACATTTTGTAAATATGCATTTTCTTGTCTTCAATTTCTCTGTAGGGGAATGTTGGGAGGATTCTGGATGTGCGTGGTCGCCTTTCTGAACAGCTCTTTGGTATCCACAAGTATCACCAAAATTATGGTCGTGTTCTTAGTGAATGGAGTGGATTGGAGGGTCGTCTTGGAGATGCTCTTCAAGTAAGCCTTGCCTTCTTTTTCTGCACAGAATGGATGTATGCATTATTTTTGCAGAAGTGAAACTTCCCCTATCACACATGCAACAATTTCCCAGTGCACATGCATTGTGACAGACTTCTAGATTGGCCCATTTGATACCATGGCTGTACATGTATGGTCTATGATAGTCTTGTGATCCCTAGTGGATCATATGGCCAAGTGGTTATCCATGGCCATATGGAGAACATTTCATTGATATGGTTGTAATGGTGCAGTGTAAATGTCTGTCTGCCCTTCATTTACCTTTCACTAGACAACTGCCCACTCCCTTGCTATTTCACTGGAGTCAAGGATATGATGTAGAGTTTCACTTTTGTAATATGCCCAGAGTTCCCAAAGGCATGGAAGGCTTTGAGAAGACAGGGAACATAGAAGTACTATTCAAAAGTCAATAAAAATTCATATAGTTTCAGGAGACTTGGGGGAACCATCTTTCAGAGGAGTGAATTTGCATCATCAATCATTTAGCCAGTCATATAGAGCTAAAAAATGGATATGGAGGTCATCCAGTAAAATGAAAAGTTTGGTCATCATAGAAGACACCTTGAAGAACTGGAAAAGTTGCTCTAAATGTGGGTACTCAGCAACAGTTTAGCATATATCTATTCTGTGCCCTCAGCAATAGGCATGATGGTCATTAGTTGAACAATGTGATTCAGTTGATGGATGATGATCCTCAGAGCATGGGCCACCAGATGGACAACTACAGTGGATGGATAGATGCTGCTCTGGAGGAAGAGGAGGCATGCATGGACCAGTTAAAGGAGTATCAGCTGTACTCAGATGCACTGCGCAGTGTGGTGCATAAACATGATGCCCTGCTTTACCAGGTCGAGAAGGCCTCTGATGACCTCCATCAAAAGAAAAAGGAAAAGCATGACATTGCTAATGGTCAGCATGAAACTCTTAATTAATGCTTATCTTTGATACCTCATACTGTCTGCATAGAATAGAGGGAAGTGTAAGATTAGCAAGAGAAAACTTGTTGTGGAACCTTACTCATTGATATCAGGAAAATATTCTGTGTATTATTGTTAGCATGAGCCTACTCTTTAATAGACCAAAGCATTACCAAAAGTATTTGGACAAAGGACAACATGACAACCATCATTCCATCTTCAAACTCCAATCCACATGCCATACTGGCAAACATTGATTGCAACAGATTGCAGGTAACCATTATATACTTTTGGAATACCACAATACCCTCTACCACAAGACCTTTGGGACAATTTATTATCAGTGGGGGAAGGCTTGTCCCAATACTTTTGGTAAAATATTGTATAGTGGGACCAGGAAGTAGATTGTTATAGTTAAACAGAAACCATTGTTGATTCATAGATGCTTTTCTACTCCCCCTTCCTTTAAAAAGTTATTTAATTTTTTGCATGATCTAAGTGACGCATCAAAAACGTTCTTTTGTCAGAATATTCTAATGTAGTTTCTATGCCTCAAACTTTGTCCTTAGCATTTTAATTTCTTTGCACTTTGGCATCACAAAACTCTCCCTCCTAAAATTGATAGATTTATTTTATGGAACAAAAGCAGGGTACCAAGGAACATTCTATCATTATTTTTCCATGTCAATTCATATAATTGTTTTTATATGGAGTATGTTTTGCTAGATTAACAAAAAATAAACAGGAAGTTCACAACATTTTCAGGGCAAGGATAGAAATCTGTAAGAAATGTAGGGTGACAGTTTTCTTTGTTCCTTTTAGCTGTTTCATTGCAGTGACCTAAATAGGAGTATGGAGCTACTGGTCATTATAGGAATGGTAACTGTATTCTTCAAGATTTGGTGTATGGTTCACATATTTTCTTCAGTTTAATGAGAAGTTGTTTATATCAAGCTTGTGGGGAGTTGATAGGAATGACCCAGAATGGAGTACGATTTTTGGAGTTCTGATACTTATTACTCACAGTATGTTTTCTATCATTAGGACTTCCAATGTCTTGAAACTTGACTACTAGTACTGCATCATAAGTTACTTGTTTGGTGAGGAATCTGCCCTCAAATATGCCAAGAACAAGTTTGTTACCAACTCAAAGCTACTGTTTGCATTGGAACTAACTATGTAACATCTGTATTATATTTGAGACAGGTGGAGACCACATCCAGAACTAGGGATTCTGTGTCATTCTTTTGCCATACTGGATCAACTTTGTTGTATATCCCTGGGTCCAGCCGATTAATTGCTGTCCTGTGCACTGTGCATGTGATATGCATAGCAACGTTTCTCATTTTAGGAAAGGTGAGTTTCTTCCATCGTCTCCTTGGGTCTCCTCCAATGTCTGATTCCGAGCGGGAATCTCGGCTTCGAGCTGTTGATCGCTTGATTGAAGACAACAAGGACAAGGAACATCAAGCCATCACTGAATTAGAGTGAGAGTAATGTCCTTGTTAGTCTTTAGAGACAATGGAAATTGCATGCCTAATAACCTCATATGTAAATCAGACACTAAAGTACATATGATAATATTGACCTTTCAGGATATCATTTTCATCATCACCTGTTCCCCTTTTTTTTCAGCATATTAGGTCTCCTGATGCTGCATTTACAGATGTTGCTTGGAGCATTCAGGAGAAATTTTTGTTAGTATTTTATTAAAAGTTGTCTTTGTTGTGATTACTTTTAGGAGCTTCCAGGAGCTGTCTCTGATGGAAGTGGATAGGTTCCATGAACAGAAGGCCAGGGATGTTCGGGAAATTCTCCTCAAATACATCAACATACAAATTTCCATTTGCCGAAAGGTCAGCTCTCTAGGTTGTGGTTGGATAGTTTTTATGCGTAAATATGAATGTTTTTATCTTGGATTGACAGGGCATGACAACGTGGAAGAGTGTGAGGGATGCCCTAGATAAGGCTTGAGCATGTGGAGAAAAGAAACCCTTTCCCCTGCCATGAACTTGCCTGTGATATAGTGTAACCAGAATCCATCCATCCAGTAGTGGGGAATCTCATCTCCTTTACCCAAAGTCACCTTTGCTCAATTATGAATTGTTTTTGCCATGCAGACAGACAAGATGCTTTCTCATTGCCAGGATGTAGGAACAAATTGAATGTCATTAGAATACCTGTTCAGTTCCAGATGTTGACATGTTCCAGGTCTATCTTAGCTCCAGTGACAAGTTCACAACTACTACTTTTTGGGCCATTTCCAAGTTGCTTATTCGATCCTTTATGTCCAATTTATTTTTAAAAAGAAAAGGTCGACAAAAAAGTACAATTTTTTTTCGTTATGTTGATTTTATATAGATAAAATGCTATGCAATAACAGCAAGCCCTTAATAGGAAGCAGAAGGAGGATGGATGTAGTCCTGTCATCATTTGGAACTATGGAAGGGAGTGCAGAGAAAAACAATATCTCATTCCACATCAGTTTGTTTTTGCTATGCTATGTTATTTACATTTGAGAACCTTGCTTGTACTGAAAATTATGGTCTTGTTTGCCTTATGCTTCTGGAAGTTGTTCAAAGTTTGGCTCTGCTTTGGCCCATTTTGTCCTCTTTTGCAAATGATGCATTAAAAAAAAAACTTGCTTGAGATTTGGAAAATGGGAACTATCCATCCTGATGAGCAGACCTGAGAAGTCCTGCTGTCTGAGTTTGCTTTTCTTCTCTCTTTTGTTGTAGGACAGGGCAGTGGATGAAAACATAAAGACAATATTTCTTATGCTGTCTATTTTTGTGATAAGATTTGAAGCTGTTGTTGCTATCTGTCATACTGTCTCTTCGTTAATTGGGCTATCCCTCTCATAAAAACTGATTCACTACTTTATTACACTTCAGTTTGTGAAGATCATGTTACCTTTAGTGAATTGCTGTAGACTCTCAGTTGGGTTTAGCATATCCCTCGTTCACTCAAGACCAATACCTCTACAAAATGCAGTTATTGTGAGCCACACCTTTTCAAAGGCTGATCCTGGGAGTTTGATTTTTTTAAGTCTCACTTGCTGGTAATGGATGCGATGCACCAGTTGATGAGCAGAAGGAACTTGCACAATTTTGCTGTTGATATGTTTGACAGAAGAGGGGTTGGATCATGTGAACTAGAGATGTTAAAGTACCAAATCTTAATCTGATATGTTTGTCTCCTTGTGCCAATGTAACATCTTAGTTTGATTGATCATTATCTTCATTGGTCGATGTCACCTGACTTAGTGCCCAAAGCACCTTTAAGGAATTGCTTTGAACATGTATGTGACAATCCTGATTATGTGGCAGTTGCTGGCTACTGTCAACATCTTGGAGGAAAGCAAATTTTTCTCTTCCTTTAATGCAGGAAAAGCAGATGAATGCATTTATCTTCCATGAGGTCCCCCATCTGAGTGCTTTCATCTGAATGTTTCAGTGTTGTGATCATTGAGTCACTTCTGAATGTTTAAGTTTCCAGCAGCAGAATATAGCAGAGCTCCCATGACAAATAATGTTATATCTTCTGAGGATACCCCCATGAAGCATTTTGGGTTTTGAATATCGATTCGATACAAGCTTGTGTGGCTTTTCCTTGGTGTTTTTGTGTGATATAAGCACAAAGATGGTCAGAGATCTTCCTCTGGTTATTCCTTGCTGGGTACATATGCAATAATTATTTTGTAGCATACCAGAGATAGCTTAAGGAGGAGTTTGATTCATCCTGGGTTCCTGTCAAATCTATATAATTACATTGTTTGGGATAAATAGAGATATAGGTATTCTGTGTCCCTATATTCAGGGTAGAGTCTACATAAAGACTGGACATTTGACTCCATAGGCAAAGCTTGTGTTACAATTGCTTTAAGTGCAGATGCTTCCCAGATGTCTCTAACTGCTGACTTAAGCCAATTTCAGTGACAGGTCTTCCCTGCTGTGCTATTGCTGGCGAAATTTCCAAGTTTATGGCACAGGTGATAAGGGGCTGGGAGCTGCTGTGCTCCTCAGTGCAGAGTTGCTGTGACTCTGTAAGAATAGGCATAGACAGGATCCCCTTCTGTATCTTTTAGGAAAATGATGCGCAATTGAATCAAGAAATTAATCTTGTAATTTACGGACGGATGCTGGTCCAATCACAGGATGCATTTTAAATAATAAAAAAGTCAATTTCACTCACCTCTTGCAGTAAGGAATGTTGTCCGAATGCCCCGCATGCATTTTCGTAGCGGCGTATCGATAGAAGCTTGAGTACCGAGACCAAACCTGTAGTTTGCTTGCCAATGGCAGCCGTAGTCTTCTCAGCCCACCTCCGCCATGCATTAAACCTGTTTGAAGGGCGTCACTCTAGTGAGTTTCAGACCCGGAGTCGAATGGCCAAGACGGATGTGGACCCTATCCGAAGTCCCATATGTCCTAATGCTCATGAGATGGCACAATTTTTCTCAGACGATGATGCACTTATTTGATATGAAACTTCCGGTTGGTGAAGAAATGGTTGGAATGTTGTAGTGACTTGAGAACTGTAGATCCAGACGACGCATATCAGGAATGCACTCTTTGAGTTGAAGTTTGAAGGGTTTTCTTCTCGACTTCCTATGTGAGGAGGAATCAAAATATTGCATTTTGTCGAATAAATTTGTTCCCATGAAAGTCCCATTTCCTAATTCTCAGCAACAGTCCTATTTCCAGGATGGTGCAAGATTTTCTCATGAAAAACTTGTGACAGCGGAACTGGGATGTCTTTTACGCCACGAGTTTTAATTGGGTTTTTAAAAATAAATTTTGATTTTATTGAAAGAGCTGGGATCCTCTCATGTAATGAGCGTGCCAGGGCATCGCTGAGGAAAAATAGGAGCGAAATTGCTTCTGAGATGGCACCGTGACGACTTTTCTGAAATGTGAGTTATTCTCTTGGGCAGATGTGACGTCGATTGAAAATGTGCGATTAGTGGGGGATGATATTGTACAATATGGACCCAGAATGCGAAGCCCTGATCGGGATCACCCGAGAGGATGTGGGGCTTTACGTCGGTGACACCTTAGGTGAGTTCTTTAACGCGTTCTCGGATGCAGCCCTATATGGCAAACTGACCCTGAGCCTCGATGTAATTGACATAGCTCTATAGCTGCAACATGAAAGTTAAGGATCAAGCACACCACATGCACAGTTTTGCACCTTGAAACTAACCACCCATCAAGACAGATTAGAGACGAAAAAATTACCAGTAGCAGGCATGTCACGAGGGACCTGTGAAAGTACATCTCAAGCCGCACTACTGCGCCCTGACTCGAGCAGCGTGAACCTTGAGTCGCATCGTGCAACTGCTCATTGTCTTCTTACGACTCTCTCCACGCATCTGTTCTGCCGAGTCTGGATCAGTTTCTTGTCGGCATATGCTCAAGATGAAAATGAAGAGATGCTTCATCCTCATTAACAAATATCATGCATTATCGGTCGTGCACTCGGAAAAGTGAGTTGAAAGATAAAAGCCGTTCGTCAAGAAGATCTGGCAAAACTTAGAGAACGCATTATTTTATAGGCTGAAATTTGGTAATTGTGGCGCTCCTGATCTCAAGAAGGTTTTGTTTCGAACTTGGTGAGGCTCTTTCCTGTTCATAAAAATGTATTTTATCCTGTAGCACTGCTTTTTAGTTCTCAGAGCTCTTGAGAGCACCGAAAGCTCTATAATTCTTGGTGCCTCACGGAGGAAAACCATGAATGAAAATCTTGCATGGGATGAGAAACGTAAGGAGAGCAAAGAGAGCCGTCGATGTGACGAAGTAGAGCAGAACAACTTGTGTGTTTTTTCTAAGCTGTCTGGGAGATTTCGTTTCTTCGCCAGTTTGGCGTCTACGAGGACGTGCATTTTTCATTCCAAACTTGATTCGCTCACGATGGTGTTATTGCGAGGGCGAGAGATAGAGATGCAAAGAGGAATTGCAGAAGCGAATGAAAATTTTGGTTTGTTGTCAAATCGATAAAATTTTTCCAATGAGAAATCCACAGCCGAAGAACGGTGGGGAAAGTCCCAAGAGACGTCACTGGCTCTTATCAACTTGGTTTTTAAATGGCTTTCTTGAATTTTTTTTGCTTTCTTGTTGTATAATTTCATTCATTGTAATATTCAAGAGGAAGTAGACTGCTATCATTTCTATTAGATATGTTTTTTCCACGCAATCGGCCATTGTGTCAGTGCTTGGAAAACTCTTGATAAATATTGGAAGGAGAGCTTATTTAATTGCAACGTTCTCATATTGAATCAGGTTACGTGCGTAATGATGGACTCAACGTTTCTTTGCACATGCTATAAACAAAGAGTAAAGTAGTCAATGTAATTGAGTGATATTCGAGCGTCTCTATCGAGTCTCTACGTGGGTTGTTCTGAAAGTCCGGTGAAAGTTATATTTGTCATAATGCCAGAAGCTGACTTTTTATTACCTTTTTTAAAATAGGGTTTTAGAAGTTCCAGTGAATTTTTGCATAATTTTTTGCCTAACGCGAGTGCCTGATTTTGACGAAAACATGAGCCCTCTACCACCTTTTGAGGTGCGGTTGTGTTACTGTGATTACTGTGATTTTCATGCAATCGTTCCTGGAGTTTTAAGCTCCAAGAAATGTTTTCCAGAATTCCAAGAGAAATGTTTCCGAGTGCCATGAAAGGCTTGTCGAAGCCGTTCACTCTGGAGAAACATCTAAAAAGTTTGTGTATGACTGGCTTTCGCGGTTCCTGTGTTGTCAGACTGATCTTGTAAAGGTCTCTGGTGAAGGGCGCCCAAAAACAACTGTCATTGACGCAAATGTGGAGAAACTCAATCGTCTAATTGAAAATGACCCAAAAATAACCTACCTTACCCTTGAAGAGACTGTTGGCATTAAAGTGACGGCATGTAAAAAAAAGTTGAACAAATATTTGAAAACTAGAAAAATAGTAGCCCCCCCAAAAAACCTGTCTGACAGAGAACCAGAAGAGAGCAAATTTCTGCAAAATGCTGTATCTAAAATTCTACCTAAGGCACAAAAACGTGTCTCTGATATCGTAACTAGTGACGAAACAGGCTCTATCACTACGATCTGCCAACTAAAAATTAAAATTTAATCAAAGCCTCTCATGGCACTCAGAAAAAATTTCGCAAGCCCCTTTCCTCTTCCCCCCTTAAATGGGGGCCTTCGCGTTTTTGCAAATTTCGATCACTCACGCTAGGCAAAAAATTATGCAAAAATTCACTGGAACTTATAAAACCCTATAGAAGAAAAGGGCATAAAAAGTCAGCTTCTGGTATTATGACAAATATAACTTTCACTGGACTTTCAGAACAACCCCGTACGTTGTTTCTAGGGTTGGAAAAGGGTAAAACCGACTCATTTTGTAATTTAGGAGATGCATCGATAAATGTCCATGTTGCTTTGGCAACATGTACTCTGTATTGATGTGATAATCTTCTGACATCGAGGATGACTGATACGGGTAGGCTCGGAGTGGATGACTCCCCACACGAGATTCCCCTGTGGGACACAGGACCTTCATCAAACCTGCCATCTCTTCATGATGGAAGTCGATGTTCACTGAAGGAAATGCAGTTAGTGGGAACGAGGAAGCAGGCGTAGGGGAGCGATGCCATCGTGGATCTCTCGACGGCTTTCGTGCAGTTCCATGTGTACAGTACACTTCCCTGGCATTCTTTTGCATTCCGTTTCCTTCACGAGGGACAGGCTCCAACGAGGGTTCATGTGCCTACGTTCCACATTACCCATCGCTAGCACATGAATTATGATCGTTTTAACATCTGCAATCTCTCACGCCTTTGGATCGGCGGGATGTGAATGAGAATCGGATGTCGGTCTCGGCTCATCGTGACAGTCGTCTTACGGAAGTGCCGAAATGAAGACCGGAGCTTCTTTACCTCTTCGCTCTTTGTCCTCCGAGAGAAAATTGATCTCGGAACCGCCAGGTCGGTAAGAGCCTTTCGCATCTGTGCAAAGTGCCCAATTTCCACTTCCCTTAGAGAAACTGTATTCACAGTAGTGAATTTCATCACATCATGTTACGATTCGGGGAGAAGCTTCCCTCACCACTCCCATCGTTTTTGCTTACTGTACATACGAGTTGCTTTGAGGACGGAAGACCCCTACTGAAATTGCTGGAGTTACTTGCCCCTATGGAGTAGGAGTCGAAGATGATTTCTCCAGAGCAATGGTGAAATTGGCGGGCGATCGCGTGCGCCTCAGGGGAGTGTCTATAACTTAACACTTTTAAGCCTGACAATTTGATTGCGCTATGGGAGTTGGACGACATATGACGGCCTGAAAGTATTAACTCACTGCTCTACACCTGTGTCCTATTCACTTGCAGCCCGTCGTTCTGCTACCGTGATTTCTATTGAATAGAGTTTATGTATTTTTATTTAGACAAAGGTCAGTAGTGTTGCCGTTCCTCCACTTAACCCTTTGACGTCGGGTGACGCGTATACGCGTCCTGCGGGATTAGATACTGATAACGCCTACTTTAAGCCGAATTTCCTTTTTAAAAAGATACACGAAATCCCAGTGAACATTGTCATACGATTCCTTGCATTCTTCTGCATTTGTAAGTGAGTAGCGATGGCATCAAAACGTGTTTCAAGAAGATTGAACGACGACGAAATTTCACACCTTTTGAACGACACAGCTTCGGACTTTGATTCGAACACTGAGCTTGTGGATAGGGCTGAAATTGAGGACTTTGGTGGTGAGTCAGATACTTCAATGTCTGATGATGAACGTCCAGAGCCCAGCAAAAGATTGATGCTAAGATAACAGAATAAAAACTTTTTTCTGAAATTGATTTTTGACCCAAAACAATCCCTACGTGAAAGGGTTAAACAGGAAGCATAAATGAAGTCCAGATATATACTCCACAAACCTAACAATCCGGGGGTGACACGCTGTAAAGAAACCTTCCTCATTTAGGTTTTCCTTCGCGAAGCTTCTACTATATGGGCCTAGTATTTCAGAGAAGTGATACATGGCGATGGAAGCTCCCATGTTTTGCTTACTTGTGCCAATCATGAAGCTTTTACCTTCTGCAGCCAGCCACGTATTGCATACCAAAGTAATCAGGAAAGGGCAGCCTAAACGATGCGCGATATGTAGACACGTTGCCGATCTGAACAATATCGAGGTGGTGTAGCCCTACATTTTTGCTATCCTTCCGATCAGCAGCGATGCAATTTTGGATGCTGATGCCGGGTTGATGTCTGATACGACTTCGGTTGCCGTTCAAGGTTTTTCTCTCTTGTTTCAGAAGACGAAGAGAGAAAGGAAGAAAGAAGACTCAGGGATGCCACATACGAAGAGGCAATCCAAGCCACGGGTAGGTTCTGTCGACGACCCATCGTCACGGGACCCCCGCAAGACTCATGGATGTCGTTTCGTGTCTCATGCACGTGCAGGTTATGGGAGATTCCACTGGCGTCTGATGGGAGTGTGTGCATCGCTGCAGGCAGCAGATGCCATCGAGATCCTCTGCATCTCCTTCCTCCTCCCCGTCGCACAATGCGATCTCGGTCTTACCTCCACCCGCAAGGGATGGCTGAATGCCCTCCTCTTTCTAGGTACCGTGTCACAAAATTATCTATTCACCTAAATTACGACGTACGAAGTCGTAATTACTAAATTCCAAAGGCGCGGGGAGATAGATCATTCAATATAGACCGTTTTGCCTTTCCCATACAAATTCCCACTCTTACGACTCGAACTCACTCAGGAACTCCTCAATTGATTTCCTTCCTTTTCGAACTTTCAGTTCATCAGGTTTTATCTGTAAAGGTCCGGTTCTTTGGAAAGTCTAAAAATCATGATCCCGATGACGTTGAGGCTCGTTTCAAAGAAATATATTCCGAAATTCTTTCCTCGCGTTGCTTCTCAAATTTCGTTTTCTACTCATTTAAGTCTTTATCGGAGACTTCTCAGTTATAAAATGCATTTCGTTTGCCGTCCTTGTTCTGGAGCACGACCACGTCTAGAGGAATTGCAATTGCTGATGGAATTTCGGTAAATCATAATGCTAAGAATTTTGACATTTTCCGTGACAGCAGCAGCACTTCTTCAGCAGAAAAAAAACCTTTGAAACTGAAAGGTAGAACAGGAAAGGACAACGTCTCGGTTCCTCTTCTGATCACCAGATTTTTATCTACGCCCTTTTTTGTGTAAACACCCCTCACCACTGTTTCGCAAGGAAATATTTCAGGTCGTATAAGAAATGCTTTTCGGCATCATGCATGCCGCCGTCGAATCTGAGTTCCCCGGAGTCTTCTTCCTTTGCTTTTCGGGGACGCATCCCAAACAATAGACCGCACTTGCAGTTCCTCTCTGGTTTCATCTCTCATTTCCGTTGATTCTCTTCGTAGGCCTCCTGATGGGGGGATACGTGGGAGGAAGCCTGAGCGACCAGGTGGGGCGAAAGCGGGTCCTCATCGCCTGTCTCTTTCTCCACGGATCTGCTGGATTAATTTCCAGTTTCATGCCTAATTTCCCCTCGTTCCTCGCCGCCCGGCTCCTCTCCGGCGTCGGGTATGCCTAATTATTTTCTGCACGATGACGGCACGATGGTGCTTTTCGGTAAATATCGTAAGGAATGGTCCTTTCCAGAAGGACTTGCCACCTTCATTACTCCAGTTGATGCTATCGTCCGACTGCAAAATCGGCATACTCCCTCCATTTGCAAAGTTCTTCGAGTTCAGGAAGTCTGAATCAGTTGAAAGTTCTCGGAAAGCGAGAAAGTTGTTTTGGTCTAGTCCCTAAAGGGGTCCGTGCGTACTTAAAAATTCTAGACCTGGTGATATCACTTACAGATCGACCCCGAGCAAAAACCACCGGACCGATTTTTGCAAATGGGGTATCGTTGCCTCATCTCGCTCTATTTGAAAAAATTTGCAACATTTGCAAATATTTGCAAAACTCGGTCCGGTGGTTTTCGCTCGGGGTTGATCTGTAAGTGATATCACCAGGTCTAGAATTTTTAAGTACGTACGGACCCCCTTATGGACAAGACCAAAACAACTTTTTCGCTTTCCGAGAACTATGATAATACTGAAAATACGAAAAATGCTCTGGAAAAAAATCTTATAAAATTAGAGATAACGCGACTGAAGCAATACCAATACCAGCAAGTGAGATTCTATTGGACTCATCTAACTCCAGGGGGTTGTATAGACCTGGCAGTAAGGTGCAGGACCAGGTTTTCTTGTTAAATGGTAGCAGTAAATGTATGGCTAGCTGACAATATTTGGCAAAAAAAAAAAAGGACTAGGATACATGTGATACATGTATCCTTTTCCATCCTCCTCCCCTGGAACCACCCCTGATGATAATAATGGATGATGTCTGATGCAGAGTGGGAGGCGCGTTACCGGTGAATTTCCCCTACTTCGCGGAGTTCCAGCCTAGGGACCGGCGGGGTCGGATGGTGACACTCCTCGCCTCCTGTTTCCTCCTCGGCAACCTCGTCGTCGCCGGTCAGACCCCCATTCTCATTCCTTCGCTCAAAGTCCTTTACGTGTTGTAGTCGAGAGGTGTTGTATCGAGATCAGTTTGCCATAGCGACTGAGCACCAATACAGAAACCTACACGTTGATTCGTAACCTTTGGGAACAGAGCGGAACTGGAAGGGGATTTTGATACCATTCCGAAAAAAAATTGGTGGGGGAGAAATCTGAGTGATGGAGTGGTGGCTGGGAAAGAGAAAATCGCCGGAATCACGAACTCCATTCGAGGCAGAATTACACATGTCCTTCCTTCGATAATTGAATTCGTGTCCAAGCAAGAAGGGTCATAGGGATGTGCGATACGGAAGTCAATAAGGGCCTTTGGGGCTCGGGATCTGTTCGGGCGAACGCCGAATCCTTTCCTTGCCTCCACCGCTCAGTTTTTCTTTAATGGAGAGGTATATTATTTTGTTTTAAGAGACGTAATAACTTTTCGTCCGCTCCATGGTGTTGGTAGAATCATTGGGAGTATTCATATTGTTCAGGTCTGGCTTGGTGGATCATTCCCAGCGGATGGAAGTTTACCATCTCCTCGTCTCTCGAGTACAACTCCTGGCGAATTTTTGTGGGAGCTTGTGGATTGCCCAGCATCCTCGCTGCCCTCTTCCTCCTCCGTTTCCCCGAGAGCCCCAAATTCCTTCTCTCGATTGGGAAAGAGGAAGAGGCCCTCAGGGTCTTCAGGCTCATCCACCGGGGGAATCAACCTAAGAACTCCTGCACATCTTATCCGGTTTCGTACCTTTCGTCTTCGCTTCATGGACCGTACCATTTCATGAGATTAAAGAATTGAAATTCTACTGCAGGAAATGAATTCATATGATAATACGACATAAAATATAGAATTTACTTGAGACTCAAAACCCGCAGCTTTGACCTTGAAAATCAAGTCAACATTCACATATGAAACATGTCTTCGTTACTAAGGCAGTATCTGGAAGTATGAAAAAAAAAATTATTTACCGAAATTCATGATGATGAGTAAATGGAGAGACTATGCTTTCGAGGATTTCGTATTGTAGAGCAATAAACTGAGAAAAATAACAACTTTTAACACGAATGGAAAGAATCATGCCCGTAAATTTCACCTGACGAGTCCAACTACAATAACACAAGGAATTGTTCATCTGTGTTTCATACTTATTGTGGTCACGGTTATTGTGAATGCAGGTGGTGAGCCTGGCACTGGAAACGAGCATGAAAGGTCCCAGGGGCTACCAGGGAATCCCATCCTTGTCACTTAGATGGAGAGAATCTGTAAAGCACATTTGCCTACAGACAGTACAGTTGTTCCGGGGGAATCTTCTCTTCCGCATCTGCATCATGATCGTCATCCACTTCTCTCTTGCATTTGGGTATAACATAGGCCTTCGTAGAAGTCACGCGATTTAGCAACAGCGGATGTTGTTTTGACTTCTCCATTGTAAGGAACGAATTAAGGACACTCGAGCAAGAAGCAGCTAGGAAATGCCAGGCGATGTTCATAATGCTGACTTGCAACATTTGATGCATCCTTAGCAGCGTATAACATTGAATCAACATTGATTCAACGTCCGGATGTTGAATCAACTTTGAATTAATGTTGTTTCAATGTTATTTGCTACTAGGGATGATGTAATTGCTGATGGTGCTCGTGCTCAGTTTCAGAATTCATTATGAATTCAATCTGCTTGCCTATGTAGCAATGATTCTTTGAGCAACGTCGCGGTTCCTTGACAGGTTGCTATACTTTTTTTTCCACTTCCTTGTCCTGATTTCAGATACTATGGGTTGTGGATGTGGTTCCCGGAGTTGTTCAGCCGTCTCAAGTCCTACTACATACTTCATTCCCAGCCTGCAAGCGTATGCGACATCATCGGGCTCAACATTCCTGGGAGAAACGAATCGACGGATCCATGCGATACGAAACCCGTGGATCCTTCTGTATATCAGGACCAAGTCCTTCTGGCTGTTGCTCCTCTGCCCATGCACATCTGGACTTTCCTCCACATGGACACCTTGGGACGGAAATTCTTCCTCGGTCACTCATAATCCTCCCTTTCATATATGTACGATGCATATCTTTTTGAAAATTATGAGAAATAATATGTAAATTTTTTTTATGTTTCTACAATGTAGTGCTGGGGATGGTGGTTTCAGGAGTGAGTGTCTTCCTCATCTCATTGGTGAGGAACAGCATTCAGAGTCTCTTGTTGTCCATGCTCTTCTCGGCCGTCTCTAATGCGGCCTTCAATGCCATCGCTTGCGTCCAGGTTGAGCTCTTCCCCACCCATCTCAGGTGAACCTACCAAAATCAGCAACATCAACCTTTCATATCAATATCAGAAACTTCATCTTCAGCAGACTCCTTTCCCTCCTGAAAAAAAAGTTGAACTCTTACAACTTTAATGGCTCCTACACAGTGGCACATTTTGGCTGAAGAGACATGGGGAGCAGGGCAGTGGAGTGGGGGCATCAAACCCCACCTGAGCGATTTCAGGAGAATAAATTTTTAACTCCAAGGGGGTGCCAGTGGGGGCAGCCAAGTCCCCTGCTCCCTGTAAAATACACCATTGCTCCTACAGCTCCCAAATGTCTGCATCTTTGCAAGACCTCTGCTTGAATTTCACAATCCAAGTGTTCCTCATGATCCAAAATATTGAGAACATAACTTGGTTAGCATAATCACAAGGTTAACACAAAATATCAGCGTTTCCTGAGTCATATGTTCATTCTGAAGTCTAAAGAAAAGTACATGACTACTCCAGGTTATCCATTGTTTTGTGACGTTATCAGATTCTCCCAGTCAATCCCGTCACTTCCCTCATCCCACACATCATATGATTGAGTAACCTCTCCAATAGTTGGTGTTGGGATGTCCACAGGGCAACGGGGATGGCACTGACAGCGGCTGCCTTACGTATTGGCGCCTTCCTGGGGAATGTCATCTTTGGCTACTTCCTTGATGTTTCTTGTATCGTTCCCATGATGAGCATTGCCATATTCCTCTGTGGTATGCACATCCCATTCCTTATTGTTCTCTCCTCTGTACTCTAAATTCTGCTTCATTCATTGCCACAGCAATTCTCATGCCTGCACTTGGACATAGAGCCAGGACATAGAACAGCTTCTACTACAAGTAAAATACCAGTCCCCAGGGAGAAGTAAAGTTCAGAAGTGTTTTATTGCATTTTATCAAAACTTTGGGGGCTCTTCCTTTTTATTCCTCCTTTCACACAAGTAATGTACTTCAACCCTATATTTTTCACCTGTTCTCCCATGCTTCCTCGAGATCTGCTGCTTCAGTGTTGATAATTCGATTATCAACTTTGAGTGATGGGGGATTTCGTTGAAGTTTCCTTTGCCTTTTCCTTTAGGTGGAGGACTGCTGGCTCTGACATTGCCAAATACAACGAGGGAAGCACTTCTGTGATTTTATTCCATATCAAGTGATTGAGTCTTAGTGCTAAATGGGTCTTTGAGCTGATTCATTGAATAAAGCCACAAACCCAAGCAATTATTATTTTTTAATGGTGTTTCCTTTAAGTTAGAGTACAAAATCCTGAAATTTGGGGTGACATACATAAAATCCACATGACTTGCATCTATTAAACTTAATTATAGGCTTCTATGAGGACCCACTTATCTGAGCTGATGGTATTCCCATAGAAGCTCTTAATAAAAGTGCAGTCAATCTATTTGGTGGATGAAGCCCAAGGTGTCTCACCTCTGGAGTCCTACTAATGAACTACAACTTATTCAAGGAGAGAAACACAGCCCATTGGTCATGTCTAGCAATACTCTCCTCATTCAAGCACTGCTCATGTCTTTCCAGTTTTGAAATATTCATTTCATTGTTAGAAAAACAGAGCTGCCTGACTGACTGCTAAGCAAATCACCATATGAACAAGAACTATTTACACTACAACACCCTTGAATGTCATGACCCAAGGCAATAGTCAAAAGAACACTTTCTCTAGTCACTTGGCAAAGGTTGTCTCTCATGGAAAGTTGTGAAAAATCTGCACTTAGGATTTACCAGAAGTCAAGAGTTTCATTAAAATATACCTATTCTTGGTTACAGCAGCAGCAGTTTTGCTTCTTTTTTTTTTTCATCATGCCATAATTGTTAATTAAACTTCACAGTAGGGCAAATATACCCACATGAACCCACAATTTGGGGTACATAAGTAACCCCATTTTTGAAAAAATTTACACAATATAGGGTAAAAGACCCAGTGATGGGCCACTTCGCAGGAAAATTCCAAAAACTAGGCATTTGTTCCATGAACACCTCTAAAGTGTCTATGTGCTTGAATACTGCTAGCATATGTCACAACATAGGTAGGCTTGCTATGGAAGCTTAGCTATTGGAATTTTTATGTGCTGTGGCCCATCACTGGGGACCGGTCCATCACTGGGTCTTTTACCCTATATGCAGACTAAAGAACTAGTTTCTATTACAAGAACCTGCTGTATTCTTTCTGATGAATCATCTCTTATCAAATTTGCTCATCAGGCTACAAATGAAAACAAGTTGCTTGTGCTTGGTAAGTCATTAAGTGATCATGGAACCCAAAAAGGAGTAAATAAATAATTCTATTTCAATGTGATTCAATATTTTCATGTGAAATTTGAAGGGAACATTCTCATAAAATTGCTAAATTGAGATATGTGAGGTTTTTCAAATTCAATTGATTTATGTGGGCTGGGGAACCATAGCTTTCAAGCTTGGCTTTTTTTCTGATCATAAAAATAGCAAACTGGATTTGCTATTCTGTTATAAGTTTCTGGTGAGCTTCAAGACTGAAGGTTGCACTGATATAAAGAAGCATTGCAGGAAGCCCATAGGAAATACTGAAGGTCACAAGGGGTACTTAAAGGAACATAAAATCGACATGGTTCCATGAAGTGGCATTAGCAGTGTTGACAATAGTATAGATTTTTTAAAGTGCTACCATACTTTAAGCACACCCTGTACATTGTTGAGGAGGGATGAGGCTTGGAAATAGAGATTACATTAGAATCTATTCCAGAACATTGATTGGATTTTTTTTTTAATTATGTAGGGCCACCACATTCCAGGAAGTCGTCCAAACAGACAAGAGAATAGCAAAATACCTTCTTGACTCATCTGCTTTTCTGGAAGTTGTAAAAGCAAGACATTAGCAGGAGTTTTCATGGTGTGAAAAGTTTCAAGGGTTTCTAGTTTAGAATCTCTCCTGATCAGTTTTCAAGGTTTGAGTATAGTATTAGAGATAAGGGGGAAAGATAGGCCTCATGAAAATGACTAAAATTTATTCATCCCTTTTCAAGAACAGGAGGAGCAGACCGCTCAAAGACAGCAAAATACTTCTTCCCTTGGTTTCGAGTTACCTTCTGACCTTCTTCACTAGATTCCCAGATCTTCTCCAACACTGGGTCTTCTTTCTGTCATGAAGAAAAAATCATGCAATAGAACAGTTGAAAGATTGAAGTCAAACATCATGCTGAGGATCAGAGGTATTCAGCAGGCAAAAAGGTTTTCCCCTCCCTATACTATCAGTATAAATGAGTTCAATATTTTTAACTGCTCAAATTGTATCTAAAGCTTACAGAGATATAGACATTTCTAAAATTAGCAACAGGCAAATTTCAGTGATTGCTGATCATAAGCACACAATAGTGTTAGAAATATACATAACTTTTCTTATAAATTTCTAGGAAATTGGTCTATTGTTACTGATTGCCACCACATTCAACTATCAATTTTATTAACCAAAAATGTGGTTAATCATTTCTGATTGCATACTTCTCAAACCTTTAAGCAAGAGAATTTTTGTCCACTTTTTGGACTTGTGTGGGTTATCTACATTTCTGAACAACTCCGGCATGGAACATACAAGGGTGTCTTCTTGGACTCGAGAGAAGAGTGGATGTCCTTCTAGATGTTCTACCATCCAGTTATAAAGGTCCTCCACATCAGTTAGAGTGTACAGCCTACCCTGAAACAGGATTACAGATGCAGTTTGAGTAGCATGACATGAATGAAGAAAAAAAAAGTATTTTGCACACTTCACCTGGGAAGGAAAAACATGTTTCATCTCTTCATTAAAACTTGGCAGACAATAAGTGCTTTTACTTCTAATAGCAGTAAGTTAAACATTTTTGCTACATGCATTTACCAGGATTTAGATGGTACTAATATAAAACAGGTCTGTTGCAGATCTTGAAACTAATATTGCTTGTGGGAAAATCAATGGAACATGGAAAGAAACTGCATTCCAAGGATAGATGGAGTCCCGAGTACATGGCCAAGAGCATGACTTGTGAGAAACTCACACCAATAGACAAGACATATGCATATTCAGCCAATAGTTGAGGGCTAATAATTCTCCATTTATGCTTTGCCTTCTTGAAATGTGGATCAGGGAAGAGGAAAAACATTTTCTTCAGCTGTCAGGAGAATCACAAAAGAAATGCAACTCAGTTCCAATATAGTGAAGCCATTGACCTCAATATAAAAATGCACAAGAAGGCATTTCACCTGGCCTTTGTTGAAGAAGTTGGGAAGATATTTCATGGCATTGGAACGAATGCAAGCCACATTGGTGAAATGGCCTGGCTCATCCTTCCTTAGACTTTGGATACGGTCAGTGACAAAATCTGAGACTTTGACTCGAATCTCCATGCCAAGGATGAGAGAAGATGGAAACAGAGGGGACAAAGCAACTGAAGGAAAGATGGAAAGGATGATTTCATTCCCTTTCTACAAACCATACTCTACACCCTCTCCAAATATTAGAACAATCAGGCCTTGAAGCACATGCTATTACTGATATCCTTTCCAATTGCAACCTGAGACAACAATATTTTTTAGGGACAGACAAAAGCAGAAAACCTACCTCCATCATGATAAAACATATATAGAACAGGTTATAGAAATAGAATGGGGAGAATAAGTATAGAATAGAGCTCAAGACTTACCAAGGAGGCCCCCATAACCACAGCCAACATCAAGAATTTCCACTTGCAAGTTGGTCTTGGAATTGCCACCAGTAGAAAAATGGTCAGGGTACAAGGAGCTCCAGTCCATTCTGTCTGGAGATACAGGGCTGAGAGAGTGAGAAAAAGGTTTATTGGTTAATGCTTCTACAACCATGCAAGGAAGTTCTTTTCTTTCATTGATATTCATTCACCTATAGATTCATTTACATTCTGGTCACTCCTACATTCTATCATTCAGGACTGTTGTGAATCATTTTTAAAACTTGGATCTCTGCCAATGTGCACTTTTCAAGCCCACCTCTCAGAAAATGCCAATCCATTATGGTATCCACTGGGTTGTCATGGCACGACCATTTAACAAATCACACACAAAGTAAACAATGACCCAGCAAATTCAAATTAAAACCAAAATTAACTTTGGCTTAAATCTCACACCTATGTAGCTGTCTTCTTTTGCAAGTTACATGAAAAACAAGAGAAAACTATGTTAACTGAAAAATCAAGATTCATGGAAGTTTGAAATCAGTTCTTGGATCCTTCATTGCAGTGGATTGATTTCAAGCAAGTCAGAAAAAATGCTGAAGAAAGAACTTGAATTGCATATAATCAGGGAACTAAGAGCTAAAACACATCTGACAATGGTATCAATAAATGAGTGGCACCCTAGGAAACAAAAAATCCTTTATTTACAGTAACCTACTATTGGGTGTTCATTTAAACAAAACTATTAATCCTACCATTTTTTCCATGTTTGGCAGAATATGGAAAAATTAAACATTAGGAGGATGTCTTATCCCACTAAAACAACATACTAGGAGAAGCAATGATCTGCAATTGGGTTGCTGTGAGCCCGTTGCCTGTAGTATTTCTTCTGGGGCTTCCTCCACTCCTGTTTCACATGAGTCATTTCCTCCCCTTCCTGACTCATTTTTCATTGGCCTACCTGAACATGAACACAGCAAAGTTACATCTAACACTAGACCTATGCTACCTAAGGGTTGTCACAATACTAGCATTCATCCCAAGTTTCTGGGTTCTCATGTCCCTTCTTAACATGTTTGTGTACTTATAATAAGAATTATACTCAACTGTCAGACCTATTCGCTATGCATTATCCCACTCACTTTAATAAAAGTAAGTGCAAAGTTCTCCACATCGGTCAAAACAACGGTAGGTCTCTCGACACATTCAGCGATGTTAAATTGGATGAGGCAAACGGAGAGAGAGATTTAGGAGTTTCTATCGATGAGGACCTCAAGTTTTGAGGGAGTACAGAGGAGGGCCACAAGAATGATTAAGGGGGTTAGGGGACTACCATACAAGATGCATTTCTAAGTGTTGGGACTGTACTCACTTGAACAAAGGTTAAGGAGGGGCGATCTCATCCAGGCTTTCAAGATAATTAAGGGAATAGATAATGTCGAGTGTGGTAGGTTTTTCCAGTTTGATGGTAGCAAGAGAACGAGAGGTAACCAACTTAAGTTGCGCAAACTCGCAGGTGCAGCTCAAGTCAAGACAGGAATTCTTTACTTGCAGAGTGGTGAACGCATGACGAAGTAGTGGCTGCCCCATGCTGTGACTATCTTTAAGAAGAAACTGGATGCTTTCATGGACAGGCAAAAAGGTGGGGGGCAATGTTGACATTAGGTACTAGACAGTAAGCAAATAGGATAGTCAAAAAACAAAACAAAAAAAACAAACAAAACAGAACAAAAATACAAAAATATTTAGCTTAAAGAGGGTTAGGCCTACCCTAAAATTANAGAACAAAAATACAAAAATATTTAGCTTTAAGAGGGTTAGGCCTACCCTAAAATTAAGGAACGAACGACACGTGATATCGAAATGGGTGAAATCGCCTCTTGATATCACTATCTTGAATCTTGAAAAATATATTGAATATGTATAGGCTACTATAGGCACAAAATCTAGCATGAGCACTTAGGACATCTGGCCTGTGCCTTTAAATTTTATCAGGCCTAAGTGCAGAGAGGCCTCACAATGAATTGCTATTAATTTAATCTACTATTTATTGAATCTAGGTTCATTACAGAGGCCTTGGGACTTGGAACTTACGCGGTCTGGCATTAAGCTTAGGCCTATCTTTACACTACCTATTATAGGCTTTAACTGATGTGCAAGGAAATGCTAGGGCTTAAGTGAAATAAAAAGATGCACAGGATGGAACCATGAATTTGGATCGATTGGCAAGCCTATATCAGCAAAGGAAACGCATAAAGGAAATCTATGACAAGCACGTGGGCGCCATTCGGAGCAGCGCCATTGCCATTGCCTGGGCTTACATGACAAATCTGGCAGGTCAGTCTGATCTTGCTTCATTCTCTTGAATAATTTTCTTCAGTATGTCCTCTACAGTGTTTTTCACTTGAGTTAGACAATTTTTCACATGACTCAGACACACGTGCATGGGACGTTCCTCAAGCATGAGTGTCGGAGTCAAGTGAAAAAGTGTCTGACTCAAGTGAAAAGCACTGTATATCATCATTTAGAAACAGCCTGTGTCCAATTTTGATCACAAGGGATTAGAGTAAAACTTTATCTCGTTCCAGAGTAGCAGGAATGAAAAGCTGAAGGAAAATGGCAGAAAAATAAAAAATCTAGAAAATGCTGGATCTGGTTTGATTTAGGGCCTCCCAATGACAGTGACGTAGCCAGGATTTCGCCAATGGAGGGGGTCTGCAGCCCCCTCCACCACCCCACCCTTCGCTACGCCACTGCCCAATGAATTTGAAGCTTCACTCTGGGTTGCCAGTGTTGGTGGATATTGCAACCATTGTCCAAAATTATTTGTGCTAATGTTATATCTGAATTTGCACTTAAATGCTTGAGTAATGTTGGAATCAGAGATGTAGCAATCAGGGTTTCATCCTGAGGGAGAGGAGGGGAGATGGAGAGGGGGTGAGAGGGAGAGAGGGAGGACTGCTGCGCCCACGAAAATCACTGACTACAAGGTGGAAATCTAAAACGTAAGCTCTTTACATTTTAATAAAATGACATAATTTCGGTATATACACCATTTTGACCCATAACTTCCCAAATAGGTATTTGGCAACGTCTTGACTCAACACTCGTTTAATAATTTATTTAAAATGTTTCATATTCACAATTTCATTAAGGGAGGTTTCATAGCTGTCCTGTCTAATTTTCAGACATGACAGCTATGAAACCTCCCTTTATCTAGCTCGAACCACTGGCCGATGCTTGAGTGTGAGGGAATAACGCTGCAATACAAGAGGGAAAACGTAAGGACGACGATGTGCGAAAGGACATTAAGAAGTTGCGACAACGTTTCCGACAATTTTGCAAAGCATTCCATATGTTGTACTGCAACATTTCCACAATTTTTTCACCATTTAGGTGCATAACTTGGGAACTCTCATTATTTCAGCTAAACACCGGAGAAAACGTAGTGATTTCGTAAGGGGTGGCTGTGCCCAAATGCTTGTGTTCCTGATCCTAAACTTACTTGGCACCCCCTTCCCCTCCTCCTCCTGACTATGCCACTGGTGGCAATGGTAATATCATGGACAAATTTTCCTAATTTTTACGTTATCACAGCATCGAAGGAGACTTGTTGCGACGCAGATGTTCATAAAGTCGGGACCCATCCTCAATCCCCACAAGTATACGAAAACAGTTAAAAGAAAGTGTCGATGTTGGGAACATATGACAGATTGAACGTTTATTTTTATAGAATAAGTAACGTTGTCGCGCATGCTTCCTCCCAAATGATGCGGATAATCTCGAAGTGGTCATTTTAACCCTTTCAGACCTGAATTAAGGCCGCTATCGGAATAATATCCTTTTTTTGCATTTCTTAAATAGCTTTTTCGTGATTGTAACTGAAATTTTCATGCTTTATATGTATTAATAGTTTTCATATTTTGTGTAAATTTACCATATCATACCATATATTATATATTAAACATTTCATGAAATATCTGAATATTACAAAACTGATGGGTGAAAGGTCTCTGATAGAACTGAGCCATGCATAATTGTGTCTATTGTAGCGTAATATGGAGCGCAAAGTCACGAGAATCCTAAGAAATTTCCATAGATAAAATGTAAATCCAATGTCCATTGGAGTGGACGTTAGGTCTGAAAAGGTTAAAAGAATGAAAAATACTGAGTGGATGAATAGAGGAGTGACGTAGAAATGGCTTCCCCGATCTCTCTCAGAGTCGCTTTACATTTACGAGGGTATATCTATGGAGAGACTTGAAATCGACTGTCTCCCCGCCAACGAAGACACGAGTCTGTAAAACGGGGTCAAACAGCTCCTGTTGAGGGCGCACAATAACCATAAAAACACAAATGCCTTTAGCCTTCACGAAGAACTAAAACTACGTCGTTATCAAAACTGAAAACAGTGAATAGCTACTAGCTGCCAAAAGCTACGAGTATATTCATTTCTCCTCCCCATCGACGGTCACAAAGGATAACCCATGACGTATATTAGCGAGTCATTAGTAGTTTATTCACCATACATGAAAAAAGCCTGAAAAGTGCAGAGCATCGAGCACCTTTGAACATTGAGCACATCATTTAAAGGGCGTTGCCAAGGAAGGCGGAGTGCTTCTGGATGCACTAGTCCATAAGGGATCCGAAGAAGTCCACTTGACTGAATCAAAGTCGACTTTCCAGTTTCACTTTCACTGGAGTCTTCTTGTGTGGAACGGTCCCGAATACCCCAGCTGCCCACTCCATAGGAACCTGCAAGAAAGTTATCAATCATCATCGATTTACTCATTCAATTTTCATCGATCGATCGATTGCTTGGCGAGTTGCCATCCGGGAGGATGGATTGCTTCCAGGGTCAAAGAATCCAAATGCACACGAAGTGAGCTTGGGAGCATATTCACATTCTTATTCGTTTTCCTTCCTTCTCGACTTAATGAAAGGAATCCACAACGACAGGCAGTGCGTTTACTGATTTTTTTTTAGTGATGGGGGGTTTCAAAGCAGAGCTTGTCTACTAGTCAGTGCGATAAATGACACATAAAATCGGAATGTAAAAATATAGCGAGCTCAGCAAAATCTCATGACCCTTTTCCACGCTCAACTCCTGGAGCACGTGATCTTTTATACTCAAATATAGCTATTCCCATCAGCTCACTGCCCGCTGTCGTCATGATATTAGCCATACTTTCTCTGAAATACGGAGATAATTCGGTGGAAGAACTCTTGGAACACTTTCTCCCGTAAATTATGCCCTATATGTATCAGTGCGATGGCGTTCCTTCACCCCTTTCCGACTGAAAATAAGGTCCACTCGTCTTCGGCCAGATTGGACTTGGAGAAATGGCATCAGGCAAGCTGTATCCTCTCCACACAAGTGATCAGTCCTGCGAAAAGCGGGGTTTTGGTTCCTAAGGCTGGGGAACGGTGAAAACTAAATTTCGTTTCCCCATACTACTCAGAATGGTTTCTTTCACGACAAACCATAACGAAGCTTTTCCAGAAAGCTTTCGTAGAGCATCTTTGGAGTCGGTGGCGTTGATGGCATCAGAGGCGATATGAGCGATGGAGGTGCGTTCTTTCCCGGCAGCCGACTGTGATGGGCATGTGCAAAGTTCTGCTTCTCCCCATCTTTGTGTGCATTTACTCTCCTCCTCCTGCTATCTCTCCCTACTTTCTCCCCTAATACGTCACTCGCACCGCCTACTATGCCCTTGCTTAATAAAGATAATCTCCGCGACCCAGGTAAGCAGAGGGACTCTGTAAATGTCGTCTGGCTCCGCAATTCCTTCTCTGTATGTTGTGGGGAAAGAGAACTGGACTATATGGCACATGATGCTCATGAAGGGAAAATCAAACTGAAAAGAAATCCTCAAACTATTAAATTTTATATTGGACATGTTATTTCAAAACACAGCCATTATTTCATGAATTACATCATGATAGATGGTGTCATGAAGAATGGAGAGTGGTTCATAGAACGGAGGTGGGAAACTTAATCCTTGACTCATGGAATAAGACGATAGCTGCTTCAAAACCCACGCCCTTTCATTTGAGACTGTTTAGAGGGAATGGTACGGAACGGTACACGATAGACTACCAAGTGCAAGAGGCTCAAGGCCCATGATTGCGCCCTGTATCTGGAACACCAGCAAACCCTCGGGTCCCCTGCCACGGGAGCCAAGCTCGGAATACAGCTATTTTGAATACTTTTTTGGAATAAAGAACTTGAAACTGTAACATCAACAACTGGACACTTGAAACTGTAACATCAGAGGGGCAAGTGTCAGATGCCTACTTTATAACATTTTTTTTACACCACCTTGTACAAATGAAAAATTTAGCAAAATTGTGAATTAAATATTTGAGCATCTTCTTGGGTGTGTGTAAAGTGTGTGCATATGTGTTTTCTTCTTCCCAGTTCCGCATGCAAATATGTAATTAAACTTACATAGCCAACAGGGTGCACAAATATACTGTGCTGGGTTTGGTCCCCATGCACAATAATTAGGGCATCCTGTTAATACCACGATGGAAAACTTACGGGAGTTTCCGGACATTTGAGGATGCGGAAGGAATGGATGAGATGGCACAGAGCCAATTTCCCCTCCTCTAGTGCAAATCTCATTCCGATGCAATTCCGAGGGCCTATGCCGAACGGGATGAAGGCCCCCGTCACGATGCTCGACTTTTTCTCTGGCGAGAACCTACGGATATACACCAAAACGCACAGTCTTATGCCCTTCTGAACTGTAACTGTCTGGTGCCTTGTACAACGAGATGGTTTGAGGCAGTAAACTTACAGTAGTTTGAAGTGGCTTCCTCGGTCCAATATAATTTTTAAAAGTCTACTTAACTAATGAAAATATTGATGCAAAAATGAACAGGCAACGAGGCATATTACGCAGATAATGGCGAACATCCGCTCGTGCAAGTGAGGGAAACGGGGATTTTCCAAAAATAGGTAATCCGTCATAAGTGTTGAAATGTCACAACATAAGCAAACCAAGGTTAAGATGGGTGCCGAGGAACGCAACATGCTGGGAGCGATGACAGCCCCAGAATAGAATTTCCCACTTCTAAATTCCATTGCCAAATAGTCGTATATGGTAAGGCAGACGGATGCACACAAGACGTACCGCTCCGGATCGAAGACCTCAGGATCAGGATAGTAATCGCGGGAACTATGGACTGCATTGACGGGGATGAAGACGAAATCCCCCTTCTTGAATTCCATCCCATTTATGATGCAATCCTTGGTGCATTCACGTTCCAGCCTGTAACATCCATAACAAGACGTCTTTCCAATAGAGTCCCTTCAAAGAAGGAGTTCACCGATATGCCTTATTATGCATCAATACTCACCATTTTTTCAACTTTGAAATCATAAGAAATGTTATATTTCTACAGCAGGAGATATCGATGCCTCCATAAGTTGAAACGAGAAGTTAAGTGGAGAAATGAGTAAGAAATGCTGCAATGTTGACACTAGCAAGTGTAAATAACGCATCCAGTGCACGTTTGGCTTTAGAATTCCACTATGAAAACAATCGATGGAAAGTTAGCAGAGAGATGTCTCGGTACATACCGACTGTTAGGAGGATACAACCGGAGAGTCTCTTGCACCACTTGCTCAAGATACACACAAGCATTTATCATCTCGTGGTTGATCCCGCCCTGTGGGAGACGATGGAAATATGGTTTAGCCCAAATCAGAAGGATACATCAGGAGCTGTTTTGTGCTGTCGTCGCGGGGTTGGAGTTGAAAAAAAAGAAGAAAAACGCTGCAAGAACCTACGATACAGATCGAAGATGCTCGAATTGAAAGCATTCGAGATACAGATACGCATCTGTATTCGGCGAATACGCATCTTCGAGACATTCAGATTTGTCTGTCTCTGATTTGCAACATGGCATAAAGCTCACGTGTTCTTGGATGTTCTTCTCTATCTCTTGATGGACTCGGTCTTGGATGTCCGGGTGAAGGGCAAGGGAATAGGTGAGAAACGTCATCATGGCAGCCGTCGTGTCGAATCCCGCTCCGAAGAAGAGAATGGATTGGGCCGTGATGACATCGTCCGTCATCACGATCTGCGCTTCTGCACCTCCTTCCTGCTTCTCCTTCTCCGCTTGCTCCAACATGGCGTCGAGGGCATCGCCTCGTTCCTGTCGATGGTATCGATGGTAACCGATCCACATTGGACCTCGAGTCCTCGATCGGGCCCGAACTTGAACGAACCTTAACGCTTGCACTTTTTGTTCGGTCCGACCAGGCCTAAACTTAATTGCAATACTTTTCATAATGAATTTACAAAACGGAACTCGCGCGTTCCGCATTTGCGCATTCATGACAAAGTTTTGCAGCTTACAACTTCCAGTCCATCATCTACATTTCCACTTTGTACTTGTATTTCCCCAACTTGTCCTTAAAAATAAAAAAATACGAGAGACGACTTAAACCGAAACCAAGCTTTCCATTTCTGCGGCCGAAATGATCCCGAGCAGGATCGGATTCGGGTACGATCTCATGGTATCTAGTTCCCGCCTAAAATCCAATCATCCATGCGACATCTTTTCGGGAGAACCACAGACTTCCTTTTTATTCTGCAAAAACCATCCTGAAAATAATGCGAAATGGATTTTTCCATATGCATTCACCCATGTGATGATTCCTCGTCACATGGGTGAATGAGTATCCTTGGAAAGATCCATTTGGACTTGATGAAAATCCATCGATGTCAACGTGATGGGTGATGAAGAATGAGAGCGGTTCTTGTCGACGACCACCGATATGAGCTATCTCCTCCCCCACGCTGAACACAGTTTTGTTCGAACTTGCATAAGTCACAACCCCCCGCCCCAACGAGTGCATCTCAGTGAAGAAAATACGCGTATACGCCGTCATTGGACAGAGGTGTTTTCGATAGAACGGATCAAAGTTTCGCGGTGCATTCTTTGCTAATCTTCGGATAGCACGCTTTGTGCCGAGAACTTCTTTTGTTTATCCGGTCGGTTTTCCTTCGCCTCACTGAGCGAAATTCTGGCGTCACCGATTTACCCGTGAAATAAACTGTACGATGCCCCTTAACGCGATTGAATCTGATCGAAAAGCAATATAAGCCAAGTGTACCTGGGTATTTCTTCTTGGAAGGAGATTGCAGCCGAAGCTACCACATCTCAACCCTTGTATTTTCCTTCGTCTTTCTACTACAAGAGTGACGTTGTCAGATAAAATCTGAAAACGTCAAATCCCCAATTTGTTGAGTTCAATAAAAGCAATATTTCTCCGAGGACTTCTATTCAGCCTTCCTCTGTTGCCTCTCGACATGATGGTAAAGCCATGCTTTAGCGAAATGAATTCTCGAAATCGCAAAGGCATCCTCTCTCTCCCCCCTGGCAAGTCGATATCCCTGACACGATGGAATGGCCTGTCTGCTTGCCTTCGAAGCCTCGCGGATTTTTTTCTCCGCACTTTTCGTCTGGGCCCTACGAGCAAGATGCAGCACTTACGTTCCTCTCGGCTTTCCGCTGCTTCATGATGTCCCGGATCAGATCGCGGAAGAAGTACAGGGGGGCCATCGGCATCACGTTCAAGCCCACGTTCATCAACGACGGGAACACGACTGCAATCGCCGGGAGAAAACACGAGAGATGCGATACGTTACACAAAATAAGAACGATTACTTGTTTCCTTCGAAAATGTCATGCATGTCGTGTCGTGTTACTCGTAGAACGTTTGTCGACAAGAATGAGGGCGGTAAGGCCCCGTGGCGCAAAGAACGAACGGTGTGAATGCTATAATGCGCAAATTATATTTTCGTGCCGAGGTTGATACAGAATGAAAATGTTCTGCGTACCGGCGAAGCCAGAGAGATGTTGACGCATAACTTTGTCGATGCCAATTTGTGTTAGAATGCGTGCTATTCATAGCTCACCCAGTCTCTGCATTGTTTCACCCAGCTCGTAAACCACGGCTATGCTTCAATCTCTTCCCACGCTCAGGATGAATCATGCTCAGAACTTAGTCAAGAATGCGGACATTATTTTTAAATCTTTTACATCCTTGTATATAATCCCTACGAGAAAGGATCTAATCGCCACCACTGTGGTAAGAATATGAGGTTCTGAACGAAATCCTTTAGGCACGTAATGATGAGCGTACGCGAAGCACGTCTATGAACCTTTTCATGAAATTGAATAAGTGGATTTTTCCCGCTTTCGGAATGAACTCTAGACCAGTGCAGTTTTCTTCCCCATGAACGCTGGATCGACTACTTCGATCGGCTTGCCCACTGGTTTTTCAATGTCCTTTGAAGCATCCTCGCCTCTCCGGAAGGAATATCGAAGGTCACTCGAGAAGCTAATGCCAAAGATGGCTGCTAAGTGCAACAGAATTTTAGGATTTCCGCAGCGGAGTTTAACGAGCACCGCGGTAGTTCCATCTCGACGTAAATGATCGGTCGAGTCCGCGTTCGAACATCGCAGGACGGCCAGGCATCCATCCGCAAGGCATCTGGCATGGGGCACGAAAGAGACGAAGGGGATGCGACGAAGAGCGACTAGCTTCAAGAACATCCTCAAATTATTAACTGGTTTCAATGGTAAGAATCGGAGTATTTCGTGATTCGTGATCCATCTTCCGTTACGATCGGGCATTCCACGAATCCCCTGAACAAAGGGCATAGAAGTGAGACAGAAAAAACAGAGGCATGGAGTTTTCACTCGTGGAATTCTTTGAGAATGAGACAGGTTGCCAGTTGATATTTTGGAATTGCAACCATGGGTAGAAGCTGTGAAACCATTTCCACCGTCGGCTAACTCAGGGCTGCACTGATGCATGTCTGCAACTTCCTACATTTGGTTATGAACAGTACTTCCGCTAAGGATGGAGAGTATAAACACCCTTTTTGGGGGGGATCGAATAGATACGAATCACACGAATAGTTACGAGTCATCGCCTTATAATAAATAAATAAATAATAATAATAATAACAAATGAAATTCGCATGAATGTACAGCGTGCTTCATCGAATTCTTGCTGGTAGGTAAGGAAGGCATGTAGGAATTATTAAGCGGTTAGCTCTACCGTATATGGGCCACCAGTGTCTCCCTAGAGCTCCAACTCAATTATTCAAGTTTCGTTACATTCGAAATGGAATACAAATGGCCTCACAAGGGATGATGAAGAAGGGTGTCCCAGCGACGGGATTATCGGCGAGGAATTTCCTGGCGTTCCGCGTGAACGGGTCGTTCTCCTCCCCGAGGCTCTCCAGTTTCGTCCCAAATGCACATGTTGCGATCACGTTCAATGTGTATGCTCCGAACTGACTGAAATGCCCCACAGAGGTCAACGGGGTCAGAGGCCAAGCACGGGGAGCGATGAGGAGAGTGTATAACTAAGCTAGAAATGGTATACAGGAACGAGTAACAAGAGAAGAACATGGCAAAGGATAGAGAATTTATCATGAATGGATAAATTTATCATGAATCATACACGGAGAACGAAGCAAAAAATAAGTATGGAAGTATGATTGAATGAATGAGATGAAATGGATGCCTTGGAGCCCTTTCACACTCGTACAAAAGAAATTTCGCAACTCTTGCTTCTCTCATTCCTCCGTGCAGAGGCGGATACGGGGGGGGGGGCGACCGCCCCACCCTATGGCCAGGTTACCATTCTATTTTTTTCTGCTTTTTTAAAAATAGCTTCTACATTAATTTTTATTGGGGCCAGTGAAATAGATATTCAAGTTTTTACTCCAGACGAGAAATGAAAAAAGCGATAGAGCTGGGAGTGGTGGAAGGCGTGGTAGGGGGGGGGGGGGGGGGGGGGGGGGGGGGGGGGGGGGGGGGGAGCAAATGGAGCTGATGCCCCAGGTCCCACTCTTCCAGGAGGGCCCCTGAAGGAAATTTAAAAAATGTTAAATATTTACATAAAGTAGCTGGGATGGGGGGTTAGCCTCCAGAATCTACTAGCCTCTGACCTCGAAACTTCGTAATCCGGCCTTGGTTGGTTCGTTCAATGCCTTACTGGTGCCAAAAACGATTTCTAATGGGGATTTTTGCATTAAAATATTGCTCACAAGGAGAAAGGCATGGCCATTCTGAATCTCGACCTCGAGACGCATGAAATTGCTTAGCCTATGTAGGGGTATCATGTTACCAACCAGAGCTGTCAGTTCTCTTCTAGTCTTTGTCGTTAACCGATCCTTTGTTGATAACGTAGAGAGACTACATGAAGGCGTGAGGAGGGTTTGTAGATGATATCGTGCAATGCATAACTGACTTTGCTGTAGTTGGTACTCCTTCGACGTTACAAGCTTTATCTACCTGTTATATTATCCTCTTGTCTCCGNGGTAGGAAGGGGGGCCCCCCCCCCCCCCCCCTTGAAAATTTTCTGTATCCGCCTCTGCCTCCGTGTGATCGAAAACACAAAGAAATAAGTTCGTACAGAATCGAGGTCGCTTCTGCGAATTCAACGCAGAGTGAAATGGAAGCGAGAGAGAGAGATAAAAGCATGGTACTGCACTTACTCTCTGATGTTGACAACGCCCTGAGACTTCTGAATGGCTTTCCGCAGCTGCTCCACCAGGGCCTCTCCACACGACTCCATCAGCAGGGACATCTGCATCCACACGCGTAGGAGCTCATATTCCGTTTTTTTTTTTATTTCATACATAATTACATGGGTTTGAATGTAACGGTTGCGTTGGGCAAAATACGCCTGGAATCTCGCCATATGCCTTCGAATTCGTACATCAAGAATAACTGGACGAAGAATTCGACTTACTTTCCCTTGAAACAATGATTCTCATCCGTGTTCCAATGGAAGGGGGGGGGGGGTCAGGCGGAAATAAAGATCTTTAGGTCTAAACCAAAGAGATCTGTTTGAATATGTTCCCAATACATAGCTGAAATGCAACCACCAATTACATTATCTTGAAAACCGATGAAGCCAAGGGTTCAAAGGATTTTGTCCTTAAGTCTCCTTTGCCAGGGAATGTGTTTAGGACTCGTTTTCATCGCTTCGCAAGAGAATAAGTAAAGCAGGGGTCATAGGGCCAAAGTAAGGTCAGGATCAGAATTCCAATCCATTTTCCGCCTGAGACTTCTGTGTGTCGTGACATGGATGGTGAGTCGATAGACATAATAAAAACAATCTCCTCACTTCAGAGAAGGGATTTCAAAAGTTATAAATATTCTTTACGAGAGCCATGCCAAAAGTCCCACGTAACGAAGTGGGAAAAAGAAGTAACTCTACAGGCTTGGAGTTCAATCTGATCTTGAATGATTGGTCGATGAGCTTCTGCCGTCCATCTGATAGAGACATGATTCCATCCGTCACACCATGACTTGCCTCGGCATCGAGAGAACTCGTTGACGGCAGCATCCGCGTCTTCGACTCTCCCGAGTCAGACACCCCGAAGGAATTCTTTGGATTCCTTCATCCAGGAGAATAGGAACGAATCGCAAGGCGACGAATCGGGTGAATCGGATGGACGTGGCAGGATTTCCCACTTCAGATTGCGAAACGTGACCGGCACATCACGATTGTCAACGTGGAGCAGTTTTGTTACGAAGCAGCAGCGCCACTGGTCGGAGCTCCCATTGTTTATCGACAGCAGGAAGCAAAGGGTGTAGCAGAACGGTGGTGCCGTGAGGATAATGCTTCCCTTGGGAATAGGGAAAAATCCAGGAAACAAATCTTAAAGTCGAGGGAAAACACGTCCATGAATTTCGTGGTATCTTGCTCTCTTCGACTTCGATCGCCCTGGAATCGTTGGGACCCTCGATTCTGCTCTCTGGCGTTTCAACCGTGGCATACGAAATGCAATGATCTGCTGCAATAAATCCAGATGGAAAAATCCCTGCAGATGCGCGGCAGAAACTGCGACGCATTCCCGTTTTACGGATCTCCGCTTCTGATGAACCTCGTTTTCGAGTGAAACGCCTGTCCCATCGAATGACGTCATCACCTTCTGCAAACGTCGGTCGTTCGTCGGGACGAGCCAAGGAGACCTGGCTGGATGTGCGACCGGAAAGAGAAGTCACTGTCGGTAAGAGAAGCCAAAATCAGTCGCCACGCCATGTCTCGAGTGACAGAAACACGAGGAGGAAAGTTAGGCAATCTGCATCATTTCCACTGGGAGATCCGTCGAGGAAAGCATGAAGCTCCGCATGTCTTCACTCGAGAAACTTCGTTGCGGGCATCCATCAGTCACACTTGCGTTCGCATTTCTTCGCTAAATGTGAGGGGGATCCCGCAGTTCCAAGCATTTCTTCGGCAGGGATGGAAGGATTCCAAGTCGATATTCATTGATTGCATCAATGAATGCTTTAAGATTTTAACTTCTCCTCAATGCCGGGTTATTAAACGATGCCCGAGGCCTTTGAAATGATCCGTAGAAACGACATAAACCACTGAAAGACGATGAGAAAGGAGAAGAATAGCCACTTCGCTCTTTCATCGAGGTTGAGGATGACGTCAAGAATAAAAGCCACAGAGATTCCTCTACACGATCCGAAGTCGGAAGAAGCAAAAAAAAAAATTCCAGGCTTCATCCGATTGCACTCGTCATCGATCTTTAAAAGCCTCGACGCGAGGCTCTTTGGGAAAATGCACGCGGCAAGAGCTAATGTCGCTTCGCAGGACGAACCTTTTTGATTTTGCCGGAGGAGAAAACGGGAGAAACGGAGGATCTCACGTTCTTCCATTCCTCGCCTTTCAGCAGCACCAACATCTTCGACAACGTTGGATCTCGGAGCGGGAAAAAGATCTAAGAGGGGACGAGCACAACGGTATCGCGCTTCATTTCTGGCTCTTTTTAAGTGATTTTTTTTTGTGTCTTTGGATTTACCCTTCGATCGGTGAAGTGATCGAACTCTTTGATTCCGATTTCCCGGATGAGATCCGGATCCGCGATGTTCCACGCCGGTCGATTCCCCTCGAACGACCTTCACCGGATCGGGCACAAAAATCACCTCCAATGAGCCGAGCCGAACACATAAATAAATAAAACTGAGATTGAAACAAATAAAACATGTACCCTGGCTTAGAAAAGGTGAAAAAAAAACGCAAAAAAAAGGAATCATGAAAAGAATTGAAATGAAAACCGGATTTTAAAAAAATATTTAACGGGAAAAAGCCGACTTGCCGGGGAGAAAAAAAGCGGAAGGATGAACTCACCCCCAGACTTTCCCGTATCTCTGCATGTTCTTTATGTCTCTCTGGAATTGTACCTGGAATCGTAGACGAGAACCCCTGAGGAACGAAGAACAGGAAGGCATTTCGAGAGAAAAATGAAGTCGGGAACGAGCGGGACCTGCTTCCAGAAGTTCCAGAGGTTCCCCACGATGTGATGGACGGGCTTCTCGGTCGGGATCCTCTGCTTCGAGAAGTAATCGAAGTCGTGGGAAATTTTCCTGATCGGGGGAAAAAAATGCGTCGTCTCACGGAGACGGTCTCTTTCGACTCCCTTATCATTTATTTATTCATTTATTCATTGAGACCTTTCTTCGAGCAAATGGATGAGATTTAGCACGCGAGGAGACGAAAGAGCCGGTCTTTTTTATCGCTTCATTCCGAGTGAAGGAAAAGCGAGCCGAAATCGACGAACTCGAATATCGCGATTGACAGTCGGCAATCGAATGCAAACTTTATTACGGCGATAAAAGCCTTAATAAGCCATGAAAGATCTCATGCTCTGCAAATTAAATTGGTCGATAAATAGATTTTCCAAAATCAAATCGGCTAGTTATTTGAGTCCTGTCATCTTTGATGCAATACTAATATTGCATCGCAGAACAAGTTGGAGACACGAAAAGGCTCAGGTAAATTGAAAGACTTGAGACTCTTCATGGAAAGCGGGAATTTTCTACGAGTTTTTGTCTCGAGGTTTCAGGCAGCCGAGGAAAGGTGCCAGAAAATGCCGTTTCCTGCCGATATTTCCAAGCGAATTCCCTCAAATTTCGGCCATTCATCGACAGAACAAAGTCTTTAAGTTTTCCCCGAAAAGTTTCGTAATCGTAGGTGAATTCGGGGGAAGAGACTAAAATGCCACTGACGCTCGCGTCTGCATCGGGAGGGAAGTAGAACTAAAACTCGTAACTCGTGCAAGAACCGGCTGTTTTGCACCGCAAAAGCGCAGAAATTGCCACTATTACCATATCTGCGACGCTCCACTTTAGAAAGCGATAGCACGAATAAAGATCTTTGCTATTCTGTAAATCGAGCAGAGCACCGTAACATCCACAAAGAAGCCGTGTGAAAAGAACTCGACCGGACTCGAGATCGAAAACTGCAGGTGAATTTGCAAACCGCATGAAGCGATTCGCCGATCGATGTCGCGCCCAGAACATTCATGCGACGTTTCGAAGGAAAACCCGCACCCCGTTCGACAGAATTTCGTCACGGGACTTACCTGTAGAGGAAGGCAAAGAGAACGAGAAGGCAGGCGAGCAGGATCGCCAACATCTTCACCTGACACCTAGGGAAGCTTAAACGGGACCGGATGATGAACTCTGCGGAAGGGCAGGAAGCGAGATCGACCTCGCGGACCTCACTATCGCATCGCGTTCGAGTCCTCGTTCCGGCATCGTGCACGTGAACGAGAGGGAGGGGAACGTGAAAAGCTTCAAGGTTTCTCTCACTTCCTCTCTCTCTTTCTCTCCCTCTTTCCATCCTAGTCGCACTCTTGTCGAATGAGTAAACCTTCGAGACCTCGACCTTGAAGCTTTGCGCTTGCGCGGACGAGGTTCGATCCCCGCTCGACCAGCTCTCTTTCCATTATCGAGAGTGACATGGGAGATGAAGACGTCTCATTAAATCATTCCCTCCCGGCATGCTTCCTGGCCCCTACCGTATGGGAAATAAGCAGACCCACGGACTCTTGCTTTCCGTTTGGTCATAGGTGTGGGAAGCCCTGGAGAGAGCTAATATCAAATGCCCTCTCCCACGAAAGGATATATTTCCGAAAATGATAGCGAGGGAGAGCTCGGAACTCGTTGAATCTGCTGCTCTTTGGGATCGTCGGTGGTGTACTTCTTTCACCACTAAGTTTTCTGCATCGGCAACGTGGCCTTCTCGGACTCCTCGGAAACATCTTGCACGATACCGTCCGCGACGATGCCTCGGAATAAACCTACATTTATGAAATAGGTACGCAGCTCCCTGTCCTACCCTCGTCCTCGAGACACTCACGTTCGACATCAGAAATAAAATGAGATGGACGAGCCAAGTCGAGTGATGGGCTTCCTTTCGATGTCCATTGGGAACAGAAGGAGGCGTAACCTAGGTTTAGAGATTGGAATTGAGTAAAACGTGCAGCAGTGCCTGATATGGCATTGCTGCACGTGGCATATGGAAGACAGGCACACGGACAAGCACACAGACACACAGACAGGCACGGATTCGCGAGTGTTCTCTTTCCTTTCAAGAAAGGAGACCCAATAAAGGCAAGTGGATTCCTTCCTGCAATTGTAGACGAGAGAGGCATTGCGCTTCGTGAGACACGAAGATGAGAAGTTCTTCATTTGTATTCAATTCTATCTGTATGTAATTTTATCTGCATGTATATATATTCAGTGTTGGGCGCGTTACTTGTGAAAAGTAACTAGTTACAATTACAAGTATTTCATATAGTTTTTAGGGGCTTCTCCTGATTGAATTGCTTTCCAGTCCCTTATCAGATAGCCTCCACTGTAGAGCCCTCTTTAGCCCGTATTCTTCTGCACCCATTTTTCCAGTGTTGTAGGCTTTGTTTAACTAACCAAAGTCATGTTCTCTTGTTTTCCCTTAACCAGACATGGACTGCATAAATCCAACTTATGCAGTGGTTGAAAAATAATTATCACTAACTTTTACAATGTAATGGTATTTTTATGGCGCAATCAAGGAGATGAGGGTGTTTCAACCATCAAATATGTGGAATTGGGTCTGGGGTACTCTTGTTAAAAGTGGTACATATTCACTTGCAAATCACTGCTCATTAAGTTAGGCTCTCCACTTTGAAGTGCAAGTGCTAGGCCTGAGTATTAACGGAGTCTAACTAATGATGAATTGTTGGGAGAGTGCTAAAACGGGGCACTTGAAATATGGAGAGACAGGTAGGGTATACCCGCCCGCCGAGCCTAAAAGGGATCGGACAAAATTGAGGAAAGAGGTGCCAACGATAAGCATACGAAAAGTTTCCGTGCAGATGCACTATCAGAACCAAAGCAATGTCTATCATTCCGATCTAACGTTAGACCAAAGGTTGTCTGTATGGAGTCAAGACACGATGGAACTATCTAGACATGCTTTCTCAAGTTAAATGCTGAAGTTCGTGCGACGGAAAGTATATTGGCCATCAGTAAACATAGAGCACTTCACACAAAAGTTTGCATCGATGCGGT